GCCGCGGCGCTCCCGGGGAGAGGGGGGCGCCGGCCAAGGCACCAGCTCGCCCCTCGGTTGGGCTTTGCAGGGGAAAGCGTGCGCCCTCGTTTTAACCGGACGGTCCTGTCAGTGGCGGCCGGGGAGAAGGCAGGGATTTCTGTTTGGCTGGGGCAGTTTATTTTCCGAGTGCCGTGTCTGTGTCTGCCCTGTAAAATGTACCAGGTATTCGCACCTTTTTCAGGCAGTTGGTGCTCTCTGGCCTCGAGAGAGACATAGGAGACACATGACATGCATGACCCTGTGACCGGGCTGACAGCGGGGAAAAGATCTGAGCTGCTCTTAGTGGATGGTTATGAACATCCAGATGTAAAGCTGGGGTTTTTTTCCTATATTTTTCCATCATTATAGCTTTATTTGGAAACGGATCAAATGAGTGCTGTGTAACACAAAATGTGTGTTATAATTTTGGTGTAGCTGTTCTTTGCCAGCAGATTGTAACTGTCAGGTGTCTTCTAGATACTCAGACTTTTGAGCTGAAATGCAAGCATCGAGCTGCTTTGTGGTTTTCTTCGTTTTCAGTTTACAGAAAAACTGCAAGAAAGCTCTAGATGGTTCTCTGATTTTTGAGAGGAATAAAAGCATTTGGCAGGCTGCTTATTGTGCCCCGGTATTTAATGAAAACATATTCATAGTTGTTAATGCTGTCGGTTTTCAGTTGGTTGCTACCCTGCCTGAGGAAATGCGTCCTGGGCCCGATTTCCATGGACTTCCATGGGAGCCTGTTATTATCACTGCCTTAGTGGGAATTGCCACGCTTGCTATAATTTTCTGGAGAACCTGCCTTTCAGTGAGTATACTTCATGCTTGCAAGCCTGCTGATACTTCACTTACTGAGCGGTCTTTTGTATGGTTAAACTATTTCAGCATTACTGGTGTCAAAGCAATATGTAGTCTTTCATGTTTTTATTCTTTCCGTTTAGAGCATTAATATGAACTAAATGCTGGGTTTAGTAGCTAAAGTCAGTTGTAATTTTCGTCAAGCTAGGAAGTGTTTATTTTAAGCTATTAATTGAAGACTTTTTGAGTAAGGGGCAGTTTTGAAAGCAAAGTAGGGGAGTATGATGTAAATCAAGAAGGCTGGGGGAAGGGTCAGCATATCTTTGAAATGAGAAGCCTTCCATGTGCTTGGGCCTGTTGCTGACTCTCTCCAAAACAAGCAGTTAATCCTCTTGCCTTCATATTGTCCAGCGGCTTGCAGGCGCTGCACTTAGAAACCTAAAAACTTGATCTTAATTCTCACTGGAGAGCCCCTTCCCCACTCTTCTCCTCACTCAGTATTTGTCCTCCTCTTTCCTACATGGATAACTTTCCGTGCAAGAGAAATACCATCACCAGCTCTCAAGTGTAGCAGTGAATCTCCTTGGGAACTGATAGATGACAATCAAATAGGACAGTTTATTTTACAGGTGTTCAGCTCAGTGATGATAAACTCTGAAAGTCTGTGGAATACTCTATCTTTGCTTGACAAAAATGAATTAAAACTAAATATTAACTATAGCAATATCTTTTTTTTTTTTTTCCCTTGCTTGGTTTTGATAATTGAATGCACTAGGTCAGATTCAAATGCAAAATAACACATAAAAAGCTTCTGAAATTCTTCTTTAACAGTGTTAATCTCAAAATGAGCAACTCATGTAAACATACATTGCTTTAAAATGATCAGAACCTGGGATGCAAGTGGTTTTTATCTAAGTTCACTGTTGATTGCAAAATGGCTCAATTTTCTTTGTTGCAAATTGGATGTGGGCAGTTACTGCTATCGTTTTAGTGAGTGAATAAACAGTCGTTTACTAAGGCTCTAGGACAGGGCATTAACCTAGAAGCTTTTATTAGAAAACAGCTTAAGCTTGTTTGTAGTGTTACTCAACACTCTTGTTGGCAGCAATGGATGTGTTTTCCATGTGCTTCTTTAATCTGCGTGTAAGTGGTGACACTTTTCTGTAGGGAAAATTAGTAACATTTTTCACTTTATCAGTATCTATGATTAATCCTTTTCTCATTTTTATTTTTTCCCCCCTCTTCTGTAGGTAAAGAGTAGAATATATCAAGGTAAGTTTCTCTGTGCTTTTCAGTGTATTTGATGCTTAGGCATGTAGAAGCTTTGAAGACTGTTTCAGAGGACCAAGTATTCATCTTTACTCTCTTTCAAGGAGAATGCTATAAGTCTAAGGTTAGGGTAAGCTAGGCCAGTGGTTGATACTTACTTGAACCTGAGGATTTCAGTTTTGCTTTTGAAAATGCTTTGATTAGGAGAAACAATGCAGCTCACACCTGCAAGTTAAAGGGCAAGGAAAAGCTCCACCTTCTTCAACATAAATGTGATCCGTTTATTTACTGGTACAGTGGTAGTGGGGCAGAGTTTGTTTTGGTTTTCTGACTAGCACTGGATCTGCTTTTGCTTGTTGCTTCTCATAGAAACTGGTTCCTCTTGCCTCTTTGGGTTGAGGGGAGCCTGAACCTGACTGCTGTGTAGTTGCAAAGAGATGTTCTAAGTGTAGACCTAAATATGCAGATATTCCTATGGCTAGCACATTGCATTTTACAAGAGCATTTCTCCAGCTTCAAGTGTATAAAAATAAAGTGTACTGAACGGAAAAGAAACTGAATTCAAAGTAGGGTGATTGCTGAAATTCATAATTGAATACAAAATGAAAATATGAAAGCATTGTCTTCATATGAACTCTCTGCCTTTTTCTTCCTCACAAACCATACTACTTGTCAGTCATTCCTTAGTTTCATTGTAGTTATACTGCAGTTTCCTTCTGTACAATTAATGCAGAATTGATGAGCTGAAAAAAAAATTCCATCTTAGATCTGTAAGGTGATTTCTGTACTGCAAACCAATAATTGTAACTGGAGGGGAAGAAAACCTTGATGTTGGTGGTATGGAAATTACTTAGCAGCCTACCCTAAACAAACGAGGAACATAGGTCTAATACTCTTAATACCTTCCCCCCCCCCCCCCCCCCCCCCCCCCCCCCCCCCC